GTCATTTCGGCTGATTCGCTCAATACCCAACAGGTCACTCCAGATTGAGGCCAGTTTTTCTTCCATTTTGCCTTGCGGTTCTTCATATAGTTGACGAGCAAATGCTTCATTGTCCGGTGCTGGAAGTGCACGTCGGTCTAATTTGCCGTTTGGTGTGAGTGGTAATGATGATAGACACACATATGCTGCTGGCACCATATAATCAGGCAGCAAAGATGTCAGATATGTACGTAGATTGTTAGCAATTGATGCATCTGGATCAGCCACTACATAGGCCACCAGACGGGTATCACTATTAATCTCGTCCTTCCATGGTTGTACAACTGCTTCGCGCACCGAAGGATGTTCCATTAAACGGGCCACAATTTCACCGGGCTCAATTCGGAAGCCATGGATTTTAACCTGTTGATCATAACGTCCCAGATATACTAAATTTCCATCAGGTAGATATCGTGCTAGATCACCGGTACGATACATGCGTGCGGTTGCATTTTCACTAAATGGATCGGGCAAAAAGCTTTTGGTGGTATGTTTGGGTCGGTTGAAGTAACCGCGAGCCACACCAGCGCCACCAATATACAGTTCTCCTTCCGTCCCCAATGGCACTGGTTCACCTTGTTCATCTAGAAGGTATAGTCGTATGTTTGATAGTGGACGACCAATGGGTATCGAATGATTGACGAAATCAACAGGACACGACCAGGTGTTCGCACAAATGGTTGTCTCGGTTGGGCCGTAAGCATTGATAACCGTAGTGTGTGCAACAACAGTTTGTAGCAAAGGCAATGGGGGCACTTCGCCACTCAAAATCAAAGTATGCAACCCAATTAAACGGTTAACGTCTTGTGTATTTTTAAACAAAGCCGGCGGTAAAGTTGCATGTGTAATCTTATCAGCATTAATGAAAGAAATTAAAGCAGAAACCGTTAGGCGAACATCTTCGTTCGGTATGCAAAGACAGGCTCTACTTGTTAAAGCCATTAGATTTTCCCACAAGCTGGCATCAAAGGAGCACGAAGCAAATTGCAGGATACGGCAGTTAGAAGTTACCTCAAAGAGTGACGTAATATTATGTGCTAGATTGAATAAAGATTGATGCTCAACCATCACCCCTTTTGGTGTTCCAGTTGAACCAGAAGTGTATATCACATATGCCAAATGGGCAGAAGTGAGTCCCAGTTTGGTGGGATCGAGATTATCGAGCGCAAGGCAACTACACAAAGTCTGATCTAAATCCACTATTGGAATGTGATGGGTGCCAAGTGCTTTCTGACCATTGAAATCTGCCAAAAGAAACAACGGGTCTGCATCCTGTAGAATATTTGTTAGACGTTGACTGGAATAGGCCGGATCAAGAGGTAAATAGGCGCCACCGGATTTTAAAATACCCAGAAGAGCAACGATCATTTTTGAACTTCGTTTAACGCAAACTGCGATGCGATCATCTGCCTTAACTCCTTTTGCAATCAGGTAGTGTGCTAGTTGATTTGACTGTGTATTGAGTTCTTCGTAGCTCAAAGTTTTTCCATCACACTCCACGGCAATTGCTCGCCCATCGCGTTTTACTTGTGCCTCAAATAACTGATGAAGACAACAAACATGTGGATAATTGACTGTTGTATCGTTCCAGGTATACAATAGCATCTCTCGTTCTTCGCGCGGCATCACTGTCAATGTGCACACCGATTTCTCTGGTGTGTTTGTTAATGCATCAGCAAATGAGAAGAGGGCCTGTTGCATGTAACCACAAATCCTTGCTGCTGACAGCGGCGAAAACACTTGGACTGTTAGGCCCAGCGCATCGTTGTTGTCATTAACTGACAAGGTTATCGGATAATTTGTTCGCTCCTCAGCGCCCAGATAAGTGACTCCATGCATCGACGTAGTGATCTCCATGCTCGGCTGATTATGACGAAAATTCAAAAGCGCATTGAAAAGTGGCAGAGTTGATGGCACACCGCTACAACGTTGCGCCAACGCAAGTGATGCATGCTCATGTTCTAGCAATGCACTCAAACGTGAGTGAGTATGACGCGCGGCGCTCTTTGTAGATCTCTCATCGATATCTAGTCGAACTGGTAGCGTGTTTATCAATAGCCCCATTGTACTGTCATTCTCTCCGGAATGTAAACGACCGAATAGTACGGTGCCGAAGACAACTGTCTTGTGTCCACTGGCTTTAGCAAGTACTTGCGCCCAAGCCAAATGACAAAGGCTGGCCAAGCTAACATGTAAATGACGTGCATGTGCCCGTAACTGATTATTAAGCTCCTGTGGTAACTTCAGATGGGCTTCATCGATCTCAGTTCTGTCGCCATGAACTTCGCTCAGACCAAACGGAAGGGTTGGTGTATCAACGTCAGCAAGAATTTCTTCGAAAAACTTAGTGTGTTCTGCTTGGCTAGCTCCAAGACGAGCTTGAGCCACTACATGGCGGAATGGTCTGGGTGTAGACAATTGTTCACTCTGTTCACCGATAATGGCTTGCACTTCTACATTCAGTCTTTCTAGTGTTGTGTGGTCACTGATTAAATGGTGCATGAGAATCACTGCCACCCAATTCTCTTCATACGTTTGAGCAGCAAACATACGCAGCAAAGGTGCTTGGGTCAGGTCTAGTTTGTAGTGACGTGGATTGAAGCGGTTCTTTAATTGTTCCAGAGCCGACTCTTTGGTTTCATCTAGTGTGACTTCGGTGAGTATCGAAGGAACTCGACGCAAAACAATCTGTGCCGGTTCACTGAGTCCTTTCCAGATGAAGACGGTGCGTAGAATATCGTGTCG